TCACTATAGTCTATATATATCTTCCCAGTTCTTAGTTTAGGTTATTCTAAAATCTGTAACAATCGCGAAGAAACTATAAGTAAATATTGACCATTATTTTATATCAAACTAATGCGGGTTTAATTTTAAACTTTATTCACACAAGCATCTTTTATTCATAAATATCCAAAGCTTATAAAATAGTTTATGCTTTCATTCGCTAACGATTTGAGCTACGACAAACTTTGTTTTATTACTGATTAGATTCTGAGCTCCAGAGGCAGTCCAGTAACGTAGACGAAAGTATTGAATAGTTGATGGTTCTGAGACTGAGATTGATGTTGCAGTGGTTAAGTGCTGATGCAAATATGTCAGGAAAAATACGCTAGAATTCTAAGAACAAAAGCAGAAGGCATATTTAAATAAACAAAAAGAATAGCAGAATCTCAGTGAGGTTGACAAAGAGTTAAACAAGGAAACTTATTCTATTCAAATTTCATAAAACATTATATACTTGGTGAGCAAGTGCGAGAACTGGTATACCAACTTAATCCCTTGATTTGTGAATGTGGATGACAAAGCTGACACTGACTCCGCGGGCTTCCGCGATGCTTCGTCTGAATTATTTTATCTGCAAATAATTGCTTTAATGCAGCTACGGATGGCGTTACATGAATAGTGCTTCAAGTGGGCATGTAGTGGCATTGGTTTAATGCAAAGCGATCATTTGTGCTGAGCTTATATTAATTAAGAAACTGTACCTTATTAGTAATCTGACATATATAATGCTGACACAAAAAGGTGCCATTAGAGTAAACAAAAAATCTTATCATGATAAAAAATTACATGCTCCTTCATGAGTGCCAGCCATAATTGATTTTTTTTTTTTTAATGGTCAGTGCTAATTAATAGGGTTTCATCCACTAATGATTATCTGACCAAATGCAGTCAATATTTATTTGAGTTACTTTTTACGAAGGCATAGGGTTAAGTACTGTTTCTATTGGCTTTTGCAGCCTCTGGCTTTAGGATCATTTTCTCAAAGCCTCTTGGCACTCTTAAGAGGTCACGTTGAAACCACTCTATGATATATGTTTCTTTTGATATATGAAATAATTTTTTATTTGATTTCAGAAAGTGTGTTATTTTGCCACTTCACTTGCTTCATCAATAATTTAGTAAAAAACATAAATTAGGTGTCGGATTGTTGAGCGTGTAGGACTTCTTTTCACCTGCTCCGTATTTCATTTTTTTTTTTTTTTAAACCTTTTTCAACGTTCATATCATTAGCATCATCACCTGTTGATAATGGAATATTTTATGTAGTATTTTCTAAGTTAAAATGGAATGGAATGACTTGAGCCATGCATGCACGCTGCAGAATCAGTTTTCTTTCTGTTCTAAAGAGCAACAGAAGCTGTAGGTCATTGGTAACTTTTAGAAAGAGCATTTTTCATTTCTAAATTCTAATGGTTTATCAACAGTTATTCTAATAAGGAATCATTGTCATCTTTCCTGTAATATATATCTAGTGTAGATATATATTACATGCAGCTTTTATAATTTATATATTGGCGGTTGGGTTTTGTGTGTCTGATGACGTTACAGTCGGTGTAATTTCTCCTTTCCCATTGTATTTGATCCAAAAAAAGAAACACCATACTCTCTGTCAACTTATAGCAAAGCAAATTCTATATATACCAGACTGACTGAGTCACGCTATCTTCATTCTTTTTCTCTGCAGCTATATACTTGTATCTATTATTCTTCTTTCTGCAACACAATGGCTGCAAATGACGTGCCTTGTTGTGAGACTATGTTCTGGGTTTATCTAGTCATATGTGTGGCTCTTGTGTCTTTTGCCGGCCTCATGTCAGGCCTCACTCTGGGACTCATGTCCCTCAGTTTAGTTGATCTTGAGGTCTTACTGAAGGCTGGCCAGCCCGAAGACCGAAAGAATGCAGGTCATTATAATTATAATCATTTATTAGTTTCAATCCATTGACTAAATTTATAATCATCTTCTAAAGCATTTTAAACTTATTTTAAAAATTCTTAATGGCAGCAAAGATTTTGCCCATTGTTAAGAATCAGCATCTTCTACTATGTACTCTCCTCATAGGCAACGCCTTGGCACTGGCGGTACTTATTTTACTTGCCATATAAATTTACAATTAGTTATCTTTCAACTATAGGTCTAAAATTCTGAATTCTATCTTTAATTGCTAAGGCCTTGCCCATTTTCTGTGATGCACTTCTCCAGCTTGGGCTTCTATATTAATACATCACCCTCATTCTTGCCTTTGGTGAGGAAATCTTGGCATGAAAATTGTGTTTTACAATTTGTTTATGGTTAAAACTTTTCATATCTTTCTTTACTTGTTGTCAGATTATTCCTCAATCGTGTGTGTTCTCGGTATGGACTGACTGTTGGTGCAAACTGTCCGTTGTGGTTCGGTTGATCGTTATTGTTCTCTTTCCTTTATTCTATCCATTAGTAAGGTAGTTATTAGCTTCATTGTATGTTAAAGATAGATACAACAAATTACAGTTGATGCGAGCCATATAACTGTTTAGTTTCAATACTTCTGGGGTTTCTCTATTAGTTGCTGATTGGCTCCTCGGCAAAAGACATTCTGCACTCTTCGGCGGCAGAGCTCAGACCCTGGTAGACATGCATGGAACTGAGGTTCGTGTCTAATCTCTAAACTTCTTCTTCCGAAGCTGAAAGGTGAAAATTTATTTGATGTTAATTCCTGTATTCAAATTTAGGCAGGAAAGGTGGAGAGTTGACACATGATGAAACAACAATTATCAATGGAGCTTTAGACATGACACAGAAGACAGTCAAAGATGCAATGACCCCAATTTCTGAGATATTTTCACTTGATATAATTCTAGATTGGATGAGTATGGCTATTGATCTTTCACTTCCCTGTCTCTGCATGTATTCTAAACCCTATCAAACTCATAGTAGTATTCTCTTAGGAAAACGATGGGACTAATAATAAGCAAAGGACTAGTCGCGTGCCTATCTACTCAGGAACCCCACAATATATTGGCCTTATTTTGGTAAGATGCTGGAATTATACTTGCTATTGGTTTTGAAGGAATAAGCATATTTGTTACAGTAGTAAGCACTGTCATTCATCATTTTATAGGTAAAAATTTAATCACGTATCGTCCTGAAGATGGAACCACGATTAGAGATCTTACTATTCGGAAATTCCTAGTTATGACATTTTCTTGTTACATTAAATAATTTGACTTCTTGCCATCATGTTGACAGCTTTATAAAATTTATATGTTTTAATTTGAGCTGCTTATATGAGCAATTTTGAAAATCGCAATAGGGTGCATGATCGGTACCGCTCTATGATATACTAAACCAATTTCAAAAGGGTCACAGCCACTTGGCCGTTGTTGTTAAGAATGATATGCGGAACCTGCAGAAACCGCAAAAGCCATGCCTAGCGTCTTAGAGATAAATATTCATTCAAATTCAAACGGATCAAGCAAGCTAAAAGGATATCTATTACCTCTGAATGGGGATGAAGTTAGAGTTCAAAGCATTTGTGGCATCTAGTTTATTACATAATGTTTTCAGGAAGTGGTCATCATTTTGATCAAATGAGAACTCGATGTCTATATAAATTCACCCTCTGTGATTATCTCGCGACACTGATATTCAAAGTTCAATAGTAATAATACCAGTTTGCCTGTGTACTTGAAAGAGATGGGAACGACGCTATGTAAATCTTTCTAAAGAAGAATTGGATTCTCTTCCCTTTTAAATGAAGAGGTCACTGGAATCATAACACTAGAGGAGTTTATGGAGGAACTGCTACAGGTCAGTTTTTAGATAACTGAAAAATACTATATTTGAGCAATGGTAAAAAAGAGCATATCTTATGTAATTGATCAACTAAAACAATCTCCTATTTTCATATATTAGTCCATTATTACAAGGATGGCTTCCTGATCCTTGAATTTTTTTTCTGCAGGAAGAAATACTTGATGAACTGTGAATACGTTGATGTCCACAGCAAGTAATTGCCTTTTTATTTTTCCTCAGATTCACTAATGTATTATCATTGCCCATGCTATCCCTAAGTCAATTAATTTCACTCTTTCAGAATAAATCAATATGCCAGCTTCTCAATATCACCTCCTGGAGGGCGTTTGCTTCTCGTCAATGGAGAACTCCTGCGGCATCCGCACCTTTCTCCATTATCTTCATATAACATCATTCTCCCATTCTGCGTTCACCAGTCTCACCATATATTCAATCACCATTTACAAGACAACTCTATCTTCATCCCCCGGAAAACTTACGCCTGATTCTCAATTATACCTGCAAGCCCGCTCGCTGTTCACCATCCTTGCAAAGGGTAACTTGATCACTTTACTATCCATGAATATGCATATGCCGGTTTCCTATAAAGATATAATTCAAAGCAAGTTTATAATTGTCTTGCTTAAGCTGGTTGGTGCTGCAATTGTTTTGAGGAAAAATTTAAAAAGTATTTCTGCATTTTGCTGACTCCATATCTTACTAGCAGGTTTCAAGAAAATCATATGACAAGCTGAGAAGGCCAGAGGGTATGTAAGAAATGAACATGCAAATATGTCATATTGAAATGACTTAGCCAATTTCACTTTTGTTTATACCTCTCATTCCTATGGCTAATTGTATTTACTCGCCCCATAAAAATTATGCTCATTGAATACATTGATGGAGTTTCCTTTCAATTAGAGATCTTTTAGAACATATTTTTAGTATTACTTTCTATGGTAGCACTGAAAACAGCTTTCCCTGTAATAAGATACTATTTTTATAGTTTAAAAAAGCATTCTTAAAGAAAAAATGGGAAAGAGAGAGGACAATAAGGTCTATCTACAGAAAATAAAAACTAGAAAAATCTTCCCAAAATATCATAAGATAAAGCCAAAAATCTTATGGTCAAAGGAATCAGAATCACCATACATTTGTTTCGGATAAGATAATTATGAGCAAGAATAACATACATTCATACTTGCATGTGAGAAAAGCTATCTACAGCTTAAGGAAGTTATGAACACTCTACTTTCTTCACAAAAACCACCTCTTCAATTCCCGAAGCCTTCTCTATGGAGTCCAGGAATAACAGTAATTCACTCCACAACCATGCAAAAACTAGTAAACCAACCCACAAAAACATGGAAACTACACGCCAACGCCAAAGGCTTTGGCGCCAGAACACCAGCCACCATAAAAGAAAATGCCAGTAACAACAACAACAATGAAAATGATGATGACCATCTTCCGCAGGTAGTTTTGGAAAGAATAATAGTGAGAATCTTGGTGGCTGTTGGGGTACCATTGGCTACTGGTATAGCATTGCTCAACTTATTTGGTGTGGTGAAGGAGCAAAAGTTATGGGATGTGCCATTATGGCTTCCACTGTTGACAACTTTCATAACTTTTGGAATGTCTGCACTTGGGATTGCGTATGGGCCACTTTCTACCAGCTGGGATGAAGAGAGGAAGGGTTCTGTGCTTGGACTAGAAGAAGTTAAGCAGAATTGGGTTGAGATGTGGAAAGAAGAAAATGAAGATATCTGAAGAATTGAAAGATTAAACATTATGCAATTGTAGAATTGAAAAAGAAAAATTGAATGTAATGTGTCTTACACCTTTTTCTGAAACATAGCCATGTGAGCATTTACTACCCTTTAGAAGCATTAGTTTCTTGATTGGGGTGTTGCTTTCTTCATCTGATGCTATCTCAAAATGATATCTTAATGATTTCAGTTTTCTCTGGAGGCAACGTTTGTGAGACATTTTCCTAGTTGGACAGGTCTATTATCAAAAGGTCATGTATATCTTTAAAAGGTCATATACCTTCAAAAGGTTCTATCCATATCTCAAAGGGTTTTTTAAAAAGTGTTTTCTGTACCAACAATTCTATATAAAAAGTAAGATTTTCTGTTAAAGTACACAAAAATAAGACTACAATTCTAGTATAATGCAAACTCTCTCAAGTTTGCTTCCGTTTTGTGCATAACACAAGCAGATTCTTTATTGTACCCTAAAGAAATTTGTTGATCCTATTTACACTATAAAAAGGCGAAATTTCCTTAAGAAAGTGGCATTGATACATGCTTTGAAGTTGGTAGTCATTATCCTGGTTCTAACAACGTTTGCCCAGTACTTTACTTGGACTCTTATTATGATTTCTATACAAAAATGAAACTTAGTAGCAACTAAGCCCATATAACCTGATCTGCTTATAATTCAATTTTGAACAGTGAGAAGATGTACTGCTAATATGCATTTGATCTGATGCAAGTTCAGTCATAGCTTATTCAGCTAAGCTGCTGATTCCCAACCTGAATTAGGTTTAAATTGTTGAACAGAGTAATTCCCTGACTCATCTTTCAATTAACTTTTGCAGATTAATTTAAAAAATGTCGACCATCTGGTTCCAAGGGATTGGTTTGGCTGGCAAATATATTGATGGTAAGATTTATTGATTGTCTTAATCTATTCTATGTACTCTTATTCCAAAAATTTGGGAAAATTGAAGAATAACAGATAATTTTATCTGGTTTTTCCTTTGTATGGGCTCGCTGTCAGTAAGCTGCTGGATAACCTGCTGATGAATGTGATCCAACACAGCATCATTAAGTATGATCAGGATGGATCCACTGCACTACTCACTTATTTGTAACTGAATTGGAACACTAAAAAATATCAAGGATAAAATAATGATATGGGCATTTTAAAATTTTTAATAGCTTATTGTTACGGGCATCATTAATGGTTAGCTAAGCTAGCGATCTTGCAGAGTTAACAAAGTCAAAAGGGAGGGAGACCTCCGATGCTCAGGTTTAAAATTAGGGGTGCAAACGAGCCGAGTCAAGCCGAATATCACCCTAAATGAGCCTGACTCGGTTAAGCATTAGACAAGTTCAAGTCAAGTCATGAGTCAGCTGAGTCAGGAAAATTCAACTCGTGACTTGACTTGTTTATAATCGAGTCGGCTCGTGACTCTACTCAAGCTCGTTTGACTCGACTCGAAAAGCTTGATTATGACTCGATTAGCGCAAACTCGATTACGGCTTGTTTGACCTTCTTTTTATATAACCTGCAAATCTTGTTTTACACAAATCAGATCAAATTTTTGGTAAATTTGCATCCAAATCAACATAAATCTCATCAAAATACATCAACAAATTATACAACATAAACAGTGATTAATAATGTGAAAATAAGGTTTATGATTTTGGGGAAATCGTTTATGCGATTTGGGTTAAGGGTTAATTTGTGATTTTTTAAACTTTTAAATGTCAAATTACAAAGAGACCTAAAACTTGTATCTTTTGCAAAAAAAACCTAGACAAGCCACTATTGACTCACGAGCCGAATTGAGCCGAGCCGGGGTAGACTCTAACTCGGCTCAGTACCTGATTCGAGTCTTACTCGAGTCGACTCGACTCTATTAAACTCAAGCTGAGTTTGAGTATTTAATAAGCTGAGCTGAGCTGCACCCCTATCTATAATGCATTCTATATGTATATATGAACTCCAAAAAAAAAAAATAATAATAATAATAAAAAAATTGCCAACTAAGGTAGAAAGCAGGAAGATATTTACTATTTTCTATCATGGTCAATCCCAATTCTTAACCGGTGTATCTTTTCACCTATAGGGCAAGTAACACATGTCAATTGGATTCAATGTCTTCTTAGTGAGGATTTCTTCTCATTATATAGGCACAAATGTGCAATATACAAGGCTAGAATCAAGCCTAAATTACCGCAGAAATATCTGCCTAAATTACAGCTATTAATACATATTCTGACTAAATAAGAAAGAGTATATATGTACAACTAGTGAAAACTAATTAAGGAAAGCGTATCATGGTGACATCCCCCCTCAAATTGATGTTGGTCGGTCAAGAAGCATCAATTTGCTGACAAGAAACTGATGACGTTGTCATGTCATGGCCTTTGTAAACACATCTGCAATCTAGAGGTCAGTAGAAATATGAGGAAGAGAAATGATACGAGTGTCCAATACTTCCCGAATGGAATGACAGTCCACCTCAATGTGTTTGGTACGCTCATGAAAGACAGGATTGGCAGTGATCTAAATGGCACTAGTGTTGTCAGCATGTAGAGGAGTAGGATTGGATTGAACACAACCAATCTCAGCAAGGAGGCCACGAAGCCAAAGAATCTTAGAACAACTAGCAAACATTGCACGGTATTCAGATTCGGTAGAAGATTTGGACACGCGATCTTGTTTCTTACTCTTCCAGGATATCAAAGAGTCACCAAGAAACATGCACCAACCTTTAACAGATCGGCACGTATTAGGACATCCTGCCCAATCTGCATCGCTGTAGGCCATAAGCTGAAGAGGAGTCCCAGTAAGGAAGAATAGGCCACGACTAGGAGAACCTCAAAGATATCGAATGATACGACGAACGACAGCTAAGTGTAGATGACGTGGAGCCTGCATGAACTAATTAACCTGCTATACGACAAAGGAAATATCAGGACGTGTAATGGTTAAGTAGTTCAAGGTCCCACTAACTGTCGATACATAGTAGGGTTGGAAAGGAGATCACCCTCTTCCCGACGATACTTCGTGTTTAATTCCATAGGAGTATCCACAGAAGAAGTATCTTGAAGACTAGCCAATGCAATCAGATCCTGGGTATATTTATGCTGATTCAAAAAAATGCCAGAGGAATCAGTATGAACTTCCAAGCCTAAGAAGTATGTAAGAGAACCAAGGTCCTTCATATGAAATGAGGCTTGAAGATGTTGATGCAGTCGGGTGATCAAGCTAGAGTCTGTGCCAGTAATAACAATATCATCAACATAAACCAAAAGAAAGACAATGCCAAGAGATATCTTGCAGAAAAATAAAGAAGAATCAAATGCACTCTGCTGAAATGAAAATTGGAGCAAAGTGGAGTGGAATTTATCAAACCAGGCCCGAGGAGCTTATTTCAGCCCATACAATAATCTTTTCAACCTACAGACATCTGAAGAAGAAGATGATGACAAACCAGGTGGAAGGGTCATGCATATCTCTTCTTTGAGATCACCATGAAGAAATGCATTTTTGACATCCATCTGATGAAGAGACCAACCTCGGGATGCAGTAACAGACAGGACAGTCCGTACCATAGTCATTTTGGCAACTGGAGCAAAAGTCTCCTCATAGTCCACCCCATATTCTTGTCTATTGCCAAGGGTAACCAACCGAGCCTTATACCGATCCAAAGTTCCATCAGAACGCAGCTTGATAGAATAGACCCATTTGCAACCAATAGCTTTTACTTGAGGAGGACAAGGGACAACATCCCATGTATGATTATCCTGAAGAGCCTGAAGTTCCTCGACCATTGTCTCATGCCAACAGTCATGTTTAGCTGCCTTAGAATAATCGGATGGAATGGGAATAGTAGACAGAGTAGCAGAGAAACCATACCAGTCTGGCGGATGAGACACTCTGGTCGAGCGACGAGGAACTGGGATAGTATTCGGATCACCTGTAGACAATTCAGTCTGAACAGGTTCAGATGGTGGGCCAGGCTCAGGAAGGGGCAAAGTAGATTGTCGTCTTTCATATACAAGTCCAGATTTGAATCGTTCAATAGAAGGAGGCAAGTCATCAAAATGAGGCAAAACATGTATCTCAGGCAAAGACTTATCATGAGAAGGAAAGAATGACTGATTTTCAAAGAACACAACATGACGGGAAATACGAAATTGGTTAGAGCATGGATCATAGCAAACATAGCCTTTGTGTGAAGTACTATAACCCATAAATGCACATCTAACAGATTGAGCAGATAATTTATGTCGTTCATGAGAAGGCAAATGAACAAAACAAACACAACCAAAAGTATGCATGTCAAGGTATTTAGGATGCTGATTATAAAGACGAAAATAAGGAGTTTCATAATTCAAGACATTGGATGGCAATCTATTAATTAAATAAACAGCCGTAGATAAAGCTTCAACCCAGAATTTAGGAGGAATAGATGACTGAAGCAAAAGAGTACAAACAACATCCAACAAATGTCTATTTTTACATTCAGCAACACCATTTTGCTGAGGTGTATATGGACAAGAACGCTGAGAGACAATGCCTTTTTGTGTGAGAAAATCATGAAACTCACGAGACATGTATTCACCCCCGGAATCAGACCTCGTAATTTTAATACCAGAAGAAAATTGAGTCTCGACATTAGCAGTAAATTGTTGAAAAACAGATAAGACCTCAGATTTAGCATGAAGAAAATAGATCCAGGTATACTTTGTATAATCATCGATGAATGTAACAAAGTATTTATAACTTGCATGTGAGATAACTGGAGAAATTCCCCACACATCATTATGAATTAAATCAAAATAGCGGTTAGCATGACTACCATGAGAAGGAAAAGAAAGAGATTTACTTTTACCTAATTTGCATGTGGAACAATCAAAAGAGAGAGGAAAAGAAAATTGATCTTTATTACCCAACAAACCAGAGTTTATTATATGAGATAAAATAACAGAATTAGGATGACGCAACCGTTTGTGCCATACTTCACACTTATTATTCACAACATTACAAGCAAATGAAATAACAACAGGAATGGAAAAATGCATAGGAAATAAACGTCCAACTTTAGGCCCCTTCGCAAGTATCTTGCCCGACACCTGATCCTGCACAAGACAACCATCACGAGAAAAATGAACATCACAATTATTATTAACCAATTGCCCGACTGAAATAAGACTGGTAGAAAGTTGAGGAGATACAAAAACATCTCTAATAGTTGAATCAACATCCCCAATAGCATGAATAGGTAATTGACAACCATTAGCAATTTGAATATGTGTCGATCCAGTATAAGTTCAAACATTGCCAAGAATATCATAAGAACTAGTCATGTGATTAGATGCACCTGAATCAATAATCCATGAGGGAGAAAGCGAACTGTTACCTTGCAATCCTAAGGCTGAAAATGCGAAAATAATCATTTGTTGTACCTTCTCTAGAGTAAGAGCAGAGGAAGCACTAGGAGTAGCAGAAGAAGCGAAATCCACAGTAGCCTGATAAGCATTGGCCTAATGATTTTGGGGACGAGTAGGATACTCCTTAATAATGTGCCCCGGCTTCTTACAGTAGTTGCAAAATTTCCGTGTACAGTTGGTAGCAATATGCCCATATATTCCTTGCAGCTGAAGCATTGAACGTTCTGCATGTCCCGTCCCTTGCCTTTTCCTTGAGCAACATAAGCCACTGCATTGGATATCATTTTGTTGTGCTGATAAGTGGCCTGGGTGGTAAGTCATTTCTCCTCACGAAGTAACTCCCCAAAACAGATATCCAAAGATGGCGCGGGATTGCGGTTCATCAAATTAGAGCGAGTGGCTTCAAATTCAGGTCGTAACTTCATTTAAAAATTGATCTCACTTGCTTTGCGCATGAATTTCCTGCACAACTGAGAGAGAATCTTCTGGTACCTTGGCATAAATAATGTCAGTAAATTCTCCCCAAATATTATTAAATCCAGAAAAATAATCCTGAATGGAGAGATCACCTTGAGTATAACTAGCAATCTCGTACTCTAATTGAGAACATCGAGCAATATTGTCTTGATTATATACTTTTTTTAAGTATTCCCACATAGATTTTGCAGTCTTACATGGCCTTAGATTAAGAACAATAATAGGATCCATTGATCCTAAAATCCATGTCATCACTCGAGCATCTTTGGTTTGCCACTGAGCTAGTTTAGAAACATCCATAGGAGCCTTATTACTCCCATCAATATGACCCCATAACTCTTTCCCCATAACAAATAAACGAAATTGAAATTCCGAGGCAAAATAGTTCTTACCCGTGAATTTCACCGCAATAAAATCAGAAGACATGATAGCCGAATTAAACACAAACAAAAAATAGCCAATAGCCCAAGAATAATCCCAAACAGTATCAACCAAACAATTTTAGAAAAGAAAACTGGAATGATACCTGCCCAAACACATCAACAATCGATTCCCAAAAAAAATGGAAACCCCAAACCACCCCAGAAGAGATCGATCACCACCAAGGAACCACCAGAAACTGCCGACAAACGCAACAGACCACCAGAAACGGCTGACAACCTCAGAACCAAAGATGCGCCACCAAGAAAGCACACCCAGAATGCGTCGAAAAACTCTAAGAGACACTCAGACAATGACGAAAATACCAAGGAGTCCCAAAAACAACGCCAACAGCACCCAAGAGGAAGCTCAACGTGACCAAAAACACCAAGAAGAAAAAAAAAAAAAACAGAAAACCCACATGAGAAAGGTTTGTAACTTAGGAACCTAGCTCTGATACCATGTCAATTGGATTCAATGTCCTCTTAGTGAGGATTTCTTCTCATTATATAGGCACAAATGTGCAATATACAAGGCTAGAATCAAGCCTAAATTACCACAGAAATATTTGCCTAAATTACCACAGAAATATTTGCCTAAATTACAACTATTAATACATATTCTGACTAAATAAGAAAGTGTGTATATGTACAGCTGGTGAAAACTAATTAAGGAAAGCGTATCATGGTGACAACACATTCCTGCTCTTTCGAAACTAGAGATAACTGCATTTACTTTTTGGGGTTTGGGTCTAGTAGTGCAGATTCTATAATTTAAATTATTAGGATAAATTCTTAATTTTAGTAGATGTTAATCTATGTAAGAATAAAAGGAATGATTCACTTATACACGAAATAAAAAAAATTGGTGATTTATCTTAATTCGCTCATTTTTATGAAAAAAAAATATTTTTTTAAAATTAATAGTTTATTAGCCTTTTTTTTTTTTTTTTTAATGATTGGAGTGTTTAAGCAGCTTGCAAGCACTTCAACTAAACCCAATTTTCCAAGATAAACTACAAATATATAATAGGTGACCCCAAAGAGGTTTAAACCTAGGAAGACAATGAAGAGAGCAAACCTTCTTAACCATCAGGTCATAGAAGTGTTCATTATAACCAGTTTTTCCTTTAATTTATTTTTTATTTTGTTTAATTTTGTTTTTAACTTCCATATGATTATATTCCTCACCTTACTTGGTCTGAATCTCAGTCAAAATTCTAAAATCTGTGTTTGTGTGTAGAGCTGGGCATTTGGGATCGGGCCCAAAAGCCCAGCTCCAAAACCCGGTCCTAGGACCGGTCCTTGAGAAGACCGGACCTAGGAGGCCTGGTCCCAAAACGGGACCAGGCCTAAGGAGGAGGGTTCGGTCCCAAAACGGGACCAGGCCTAAGGGCCCTCCTCCAATTTTGTATTTTTTCAATATAGTCCTCTACCAAATTACATAAAACGCCCTGTTAATTTTAAAATAAATATAAATTATGAGGGATAAAATAAAAGTTTACAAAATTTAAAAAAAAAAAAATCTTCCAGGTCCAAAAAATTTATAAATTTATAAAATTTTACCCCAAAAAAATACTAAAAACCCCCTATAAATTTCGTTTTGCCCCCAAAATATAAAAAAAAAATTGAGGGGAGAAAATAAAATTATCCAAGCCCCATGGGACCGGTCCTGGGCCCATGGGACCAGTCCTGACCAGGCCTAAGGCCTGGTCCGGGTCCTGGTTTTTCTCATGGGCTTGGGACCAGTCCCAGGCCCATGAGTGACTGGTCCCATTTGGGACCAGTCCCAAATGGGCCTGGGCCCGCAAGGGACCAGTCCCTGCCCACCTCAATTTTTGTGTAAAAAAAAAAAGGACAAAAAAGAAAAAAGAAAGGAGAAATGCGTAAAGGGTGAAGAGTAAAGAGAAATAAATTTGGGGATTTAGGGTTTTTTAATTTTAAAGTGAAAATCGGTTTTACGGTTAACCGGTTTTATAAATTTTTTAAACCGAACCAGAAATTCAGTTTATGTATTTCCTTGAACCGAAACCGAACCAATTTTTTGGATAATTGAAAAGCCGTTTTGGTTACCGATTCGATTCGGTTTTTGCATTTTTTTTAACACCCCTACCAGACCAACCAGACAACCTATTGGGGTTCAGTCTTTAGTTTTAAGAGCGTATTTTTCTAGTCTTTCAAACTCTAGGACCTTGACTTGGATCAGAAGTTTAGAGTGGATATCTTTAATACCACTATAGAATAAAGTATTGCTTGAATTAAAAAAAGCAAACCTTAAACCTTAAATTCAAACAGATTTTCCTATCTGAGTTCTTCATGAATCTTATTCTAATGATTCAAAGTGTATGAAATTAAAAAAAGGGGGGCGTCATGTAAGAAACCACTTGAAGAATTATCTCTACGTGGAGGATTGGCTGGCCACCTTACTTCGATTCACGATAAGTACGCTTCATTCATCAAAATCCTCTGGCCGCCTTACTTTGATTTACGATAAGTACGTTTCATCAAAGTAAATGCTTAGAAAGATACAAGAGAGTCGAGAGAAGTAGTCAAGTTTAATTTTTCGACTTAGACGGCCATTTATTTGCTTTCTAACTTTTTTGAAAGCAACTTGTTCGTAATCCAAGCCTTTGGGTTGGCTTTTTGCGTATTATACTCTAATGATATAGTTGGAGTGACCTCAGCTCATAGATTTTCAAGAGTCTTAAATAACTTGAAAGAGACTGGCAATGGGGGCACCATTTATCACTAATTTGTCCAAATTCTAATGCCTTTAACCCCACATTAAAAGTAAATTTTGAAGAGAAGAAAGGGAAGAATATGGGATTGGGAAGGAAAGATGATAACTATAGAAAGCTTCAGTTTGTAACGTAGTGCGTGAAAATCTATAATGCAAGACAAGTCAGCCGGCTGATCGCTACAACTACAGATACAGAGGACAAGAAAAGGCATATATATATATATATATATATATATTTTTTTTTTTTTTGGTATCGATTTGAACCAGTTTGTGCATATCTGAGCTAATCCCTTGAGATCCTGAAGTTAACAATCAAATAAACCTTTAGTGGTTATCCCTTATTAATAGTAGTCAGCAATTCAAATTCAGGATCTCTTGAGTAGTACACCCAAAAACCCCAAAGTGAACCGTCAAACTATCAGAGGTGGTTAAGAAAATGCATATTCTTGCCTATTTTCTTTTTTCTGTTTAGTTTGAGCCTGGGAGCTCCATTAGGACGCCTATGCCCATCTCCCTCCTTTGTTTGGAGCATGCATGCTCCCTTTTGGGCATTTGTTCCATCCTTTTGTCCAAAAAGATGGGCACCTATGATCTATCTTCTTTAGACCTCTTGGGGATATCCATATTCTTTGAATCACATATTCAGTGAATGAATCCAAGTTTACTCGGAGCGGAAAACGAGACACATTAACTAAGTTGTTTGAATGATGTAATATTTTTGTTCTTGCTGAAGCTTTTTCAGTAATTATGTCTGCCGAAAATGTTAAAAGAATCAGAACCTGCTATTCAAAACAGTTATGCACAAAAGTCAAGTGCTCGCCACAAAACTTGATTCATAATACCAGATCCACCGCAACAAACATGAAAGAGAACAACCCATCATTGCCTACTGTACATATGAACCACACACAGTTTCTGCATATCTAATTGTTTTTTACTAGAAGAACCAAATTTAAGATTTCCTCTTGTTATAGATTCCTTGTCAATTCTTCCAGAACTCCAAAAGTTTAGCAGATAACACAGGCGTTAGGATCTTCCTCTGCACTTGTGACATAATAATGTGTGGTCATGTAAGGATTATGGCTTTATATCCTGATGACTCGGCTACATCGTCTTTTTTAGGCTCTCCTTTTTCTTATTATCATCTTTCTTTTGCTCTTCTTTCTGGGCTCTTCCTTTCTTCTCTCTTCTTTGCTGGTCCAACCGATACTATCTCTGTGTGACATACTTTCTCAGTTTGCCCACTATACTTACTGGATCAATGTCTCCAATTACGTCAATTTCTTGTCCTTCATGTCCATGTCGATTGATTCAACCCCTGTAAAATTACACCACACAGCAACTCATATTGGTCAATTTTTCACCTTTGGCTAACAGTGCACAGATCAAATTTACGGTTTTTCATTTTAGTTCATTCCAACCAAAAAGAAGAAGCTTAAATTCATACCTAAGGCCAGAGACTGTCTTCATGGCTTTTTTCTTTATTTTGTCATCGTGTAGTTCTACTTTCAACACTGCTTTCTGTGATAAAAAAAAGGATCGAATACAATTAGAACCTTATAAACAGAGCATGAGCCTGAAAGATAGAGAACCCAGGGCAAAGAGAAAATACCCACCTTCATTTTTACTGTCTTGAGAGACCTGAACTGAACTTAATTGAAAGAAAGTTGCAGATCAAACCCCGAATTCTGAACGTGCAAGATGATAAAGAAGTATATTAGAATAGAGAGGAAGAAGAAGAAGACAGGAGAAGGCCTAAGAAGCTTAATGGACTTGGTGAAATGAATGAACCGTAGCTATAATTTATATTGAAAAGAGTCACGAGTCAACTGAGGCGAAGCTACTATTAAACAATAATTATTAACGACACAACAGTTTATGGTCAAGAAACCAATTAATAGTTGGACCAAGAAGAAAGTTCAAAAGCCCCTATTTGTAGAAACCTGGAAGAAGCATTCGTCGGCTTTATTTACCTTTTGAAGAAAAGCTTAAACGATTTATCTAATAACGTACAGATTATCTCCTTCCTGGAAGTAACTATTATCAGTCAAGGACTGTCCACAGCTAGTTGACTGAATCTAGTCTTCGTCTACGCAATCAATCAGTGAATGATAAAGCGGACAAACAAGCCACAAAAACTTGTAATGGAAGCGTCTCTCTTAATGAATTGGTCCCTTTCCATCACGTGTAGGGAACATCCAGTCAACTCAAGAACATAAAATACTTCAGTGGTTGCTTTGAAGATTGTAAAAATTAGAGATTCTCAA